GCACACTGCCAAAATTACTGTGTCTATGTCTCCCTTGTTTTTTTGTTTTTTTTTTTTTTTTTAGATGGTATTTGAAGGTTTTCTTTTTTCACCTACATGAAAAGAAATTATTATGAATTGTGCCCATCATACTTTCTAGCTTTCTGTTATCAATCTTTCTATCAGTATTAGAGACTAGAATTGAAATATGCCAGCCGTGCTTCCTTCTGTCAACATTCTTTGAACTTTGCTATATTTCTAGGGAAGATTATTCTGTTTTTTTTTTTTTTGCTGTATTGATAGTCACACATTTTAGAAACTTTTTTCTTTGCTTTTCTGCTAATTATTTGATTAAAATATTTTTGTTTTTTAAAGGAATTGATTCTTTATGTCAGTGACTTTAGTCTATTAAACGTAAATAAAATGAGGAATGCAAGATAACCACTTCTCTTTCCTAGGTAGAATAAGAATTTTGAAACACAGCTTTGTGGCACAAACTGGTAATCTAAGTTACGTGGGAGGTGGAATCAAGAGCTTTTTAAGACCTGCCTGGGCTATAAAGGTGAGTCAAGGTCAGCCTGAGCAACTTAAGTGAGAAAATGCTTCAAAATAAAAGATGCAAATGAGTCTGGACATATCTCGGGGGTAGGTTGCTTGCCTGCCATGCTCAGTGCCCTACGTTCAATTTTGATGCTCAAGCTCCCCAACTTATAACACTTCAGGGATATGGTAAATCACGTGGTAGTAAATGACTAAGCAAGTCTGCTAAGGCTAGGGGTGACTGTTGGTCACCTTGAGAATTACAACGCTGGTTGAATTACAACTCTAGTTTTCATATGTCACTGTGCATTAGAATCACTTGAAGGGCTTGTTAATACAGATTGCTGAGCCACATTCTCAAAGTGTATGGCTCTTTAAATCTTCAAAATTTATATATAAAGGTGGCACTGGCAGAGCAACACTTCAAGGAGAAGGCACATGACCTTGACGGATATTCACATGGTATAAATTCAGGAGAGGGTCTGTCTTCTGTTGCCAGGGTTTCTTCTGGTTCCAGTTGATGGTATGGCTTCACCAGTCAAGCTGTGATCCAGAGAGGCCTGTAAGAGAAAGCACAGATAAGGAACCCCTGCTCTAATTAATGAGACATATGGATTAGCCATTTATTGACCCTTAAGGGAGTTTATATAAAACCATGGATTTTGGTAAAGCTTCTTGTTACTTAAGATGCTTTCCAACAGGTTCTGGGGGTGGGCGGAGGGATTGAGAAAGACAATTTTTAAAAAAATATTTTTTATTGAATTTTTATGTATTTCATATACAACATCTTAGTCCTCCATCTTAGTCCTCTTTATACCCCCTTCCTCATCGGCACCCTTCCATAGTCCCCACCCTAGTTGATTTCGTGCTTTCTGTCATTTATGTTAAGGCATATCAAGTCAAGTTAGTGTCCCCTGATGTCCTTCAGTGCAAATTCATCCACCAGAATCTAGTTAGCATACCTAGAGTCACTCCCTTAATGAAGAACAGATCTTACTCAGTAGTAATCAGCTGCCAAATATTTCTTTGACTGATATTGGGACCTACTGCCCATTTCCACAGTTCTTTGTTTTTGTCTGCTTGAATTTCTTTAGGTCTTGTGCATGCTGTCACCATTGGTATAAATTCATATGAGCAAGGTCCTAGGAGCCTGTAAGACTATTTCCATGTGGTCATGCACCTCCTTCCCTTTCTCTTACAATCTTTCTGCCCCTTGTTCTGCAATGATCCCTGAACCTGGGTTCATTGCTCTCTTGCATGAAGGAGCTTCATTGATGAGTAGAGAGAGACATTACTATTCTTTCTACTCCTTGTTCCACTATGTTCCATGAAACTTAGGTGTAGAAGTTCCATTGTAGGTGTGTCATTTAGGGTTTGGCATTTCACAGACACTTAATCTTTGTGTGTAACCAGTTGTGGAACTCTGTGATAGTCTCACATTGTTGAAAAAGAAGCTTCTTTGATGAGTAGTGACTGGCATACTTGTCTGTAAATATAAGGATCCATATTTAGCACATAGTAAGAAATTACATTTGTTTAGGGATGTGACAGCCTTGGGGTTTTCTCTAAGATCTATGACCCCTCTAGCCATGTGTATTTGGCTATGTTTACAGTACCAACACATGTGTTTGCTCCCAGTGAGTGGGCTTTAGGTCCAATTTTTGATTACCCCCAAGATAAAAGTGCCACTGCTACTCCAATATAGTTTGAGTGCCAGTCACTGTTGTGGTTATTAGGCCTTAAAGCTGGAGTTGAACCTTCAGTTGATGTTTTCCTTTAGCACCTTGCATATGAGAGCTAGTCTTCAAGGAGGTGGCTTCCAGTCCCAGTTCTGTTGCTCCAAGTCCTGTGTCTGAAGTATGTCTTGTCTTCAGCAGTAGGATCTTACCTTCAAGTGCTGGGAGGCAATCAGGGCCTGTGGTAGTCTCTTGGACTACCCTGGCCAGCAACTCAAAGAGAGTCTTCATTTAAAGTATAAGTTGTTTTTAAAGGAGGTGGTGCACACCTTTAATCCCAGCACTCAGGAGGTAGAGGCAGGCGGATCTCTATGAGTTCAAGGCCAGCCTGGTCTACATAGTGAGTTCCAGGACAGCTGGGGCTACAGGGAGACCCTGTCTCAGAAAGACCAAAAAAAAAAAAAAAAAAGGATTAATTTGTTTTAGCAGTTACCCTTTATTCCCCTTCTTTTGCTTATGTATTTAAGTTTCAAATAATAAATGAGTTAGTTCAATTATAGCATGTGCTTGGGGTAATACAGGGAATGTCATGAGAGACATGAACTTCTCAAAGTTGGCAAAAAGAGATAAAAGAGATACAACTGGGACAATTGTTTTGATTTCTTTGGGGACTTCCTCTTCAGAGAAAGCAGCTAATATGTGTCTTCAAACAGCTCACACAGATTGATGTTTTTAAGAGGTAGTTTCTTTGGAAGTACCTCTTTTTCCTCTTGATAAGGCTGTATATATAATTTGGTTCCAAAGAATTAAATGTACCATTTCTAAGCAGTAACTTAAGTGCCTGGAGAGATAGCTTAGTGGTTAAGAGCACAGGCAGCTCTTGACCCATCACCCACATGGCAGCTAACAACCATCCATGACTCAAATTTCAGGGGCTCAAGATGCGCTCTTCTGATCTCCATGGGCATTTCACTACACAGGTGCACTTACACAGGCAGTACATGCATACACATAAAATAAAAATAAAAATTTTTAAAAAGTAGAACTTAAGAATTAGTCATTGGGGCTGGAAAGATGGCTCAGTGGTTAAGAGCACTGACTGCTCTTGCAGAGGACCCGGGTTCGATTCTCAGTACCCACATGGCGTCTATGAACCATCTTAACTCCAGTTCCAGGGGAATCTGAAGCCCTCTTCTGACCTCCATGGCATTGCACGACACGGGTGCAATCACATACATGCAGGTGATACTTGTACACGTAAAATAAAAATAATAAATTTTTTTTAATGTTAAAAAAAAAGAATTAGCAATTTTATCTCAGAATTTAAAATCAAATGTCCTATAGTTGATACACCAGGGAAAATACTTCTGAATAACATTTAAACATTCATAAATTTGCTTTGATGGCATTTTAGTTATAGTTCCTTTAAGTAAATACATGAATTGCCATGTTAAGATTCTGGAGCTAAAGATACCCCCCCCCACACACACACACATAGTGAAAGTGGAAAATGAAAGTGAAAGTAGAAGTGCGAACACAGCTCCTTGCAGGTTGGGCCTGGTAAAGAAGGCAGTAAAAGCAAAAAGTGAATAAAAGAATCATTTACGCATGCTGGTGCATGTGTTCAAGAAAGCCTTGTGCTTTTTGTCTTATCACTTACCCTTGTATATGCTGGGAATGTCTAGTAATCCCCTTTTCCTTGGGATTTTTCTGAGTGCTGTGCTTGGGGTGGAGGGCAAGATGGGGTAATTTGCCTAGGTCACAAGAAGAGCACATGGCTCAATGAGCTTGTTTACATTATAAACAACGTTTGGTTGAAACATTAGATAAAAGTCTTCAGTCCAGATTATGTCCATATTGTAAACATCATTCCTACAATCTGTGTCCATTCCACAATGATCCTTGAGTCTTGGAAGGAGAGGATGTGACACTGGTATCCCCCTTAGGGCTGAGCACTCTGTACTTTCTTATTCTCTGTATGTTGACCAGTTATAAGTATTGTGTTAATTGACATCTGTTATAAGAAGCTTCTCTGGTGAGAGTTTAGAGATGGGTATTGCGGCCGTCCATCCGGTCTGCCTTCACGGTTGTCTCCATCACCACCTGATCCCAGACCCCAGGGCTGGTGAGGAAACTGTGTCAGCCAAGCCGCATTCAGACACAGGAGACCAGAGTCAGTGATGCAGATCTATTTTATTGAGGAATTTACAAGCTTATATAGGGTCCCTGGACCAATCAGACAAGGATGCAATGACTATGCCATATATGGGTAGCCCAGGTTCTGGGACCAATCAAATAGGGATACAACGACTATGCCATATATGGGAGCCCAGGTCCCGGGACCAAACAGATAGGGATACAATGACTATGCCATATATGGGCAGCCCAGGTTCTGGGACCAATCAAACAGGGATACAACAACTATGCCATATATGGGAGCCCAGGTCCCGGGACCAAACAGATAGGGATACAATGACTATGCCATATATGGGCAGCCCAGGTTCTGGAACCAATCAAACAGGGATACAATGACTATGCCATATATGGGCAGACCAGGTTCTGGTAAATCATATGACCATGGCTGTTATGCCCACTGCTGCAAGCTGTAGATAAACTGCAACCTGGAATTTTAAGGGGTGGCGACTAGGGAGTGGCAAGCCTTAAGCAATCCAGCCCTGTGACTTGCCAAATGGAGCGATAATCACAAGGCAATCCTCGTGGCTCCAGTGGTCAGGCCTTTGCCTCAGGCCTGCTGTATGGCTGTCATTAGGTCTCCACTCTAGGCTCAAGCCTGTCTCCCACAGGGTATAACAAATCATTAGGAGTTAGTTTAATCCTATGTCTATATAGCATAATAATAGTACTTGGTTCTCCCCTGTGGCCTGTGACCTCTCTAGCCATTGGCCCTGATAACAGTGCCATGTATGAGCTCTGTCTTGTAAAGTAAGCCTTCTTCTCAGTTCATGACCTGATTGAGAAAACTAAAACCTGAGACATAACTACTCATTTTTCTACTAACAGATTGAAAAGCTATCAATATCTGAGCCTTTTCTTTATTTTTACACACTCCAGGACCTAGATTCAAGGAATGGTGCTGACAACAATCTTGGTACTGACCATAGCTGGGCAGAGGGGAATTTTCTCACCTCCAATAATATAAGGTACTCTCCAAGATATGCCAACAGGCCAACCTGAAGTAGACATTCATTGTTTGAAACTCCCATCCCAGGTGATTCTTGATTGTGCCATCTTCACAGTTTAATGATCACATGCCCTGTTCCCTTCTTCTTTTATGTCTGAGTGCTATTTCTCCCTTCATTGTTTACCCAACTTCCTCTTCATGTGT